GGAAGGAGGAAGAAAAGGAGGGAGGGAGGGAGGGAGGAAATGGACTTTTCAATAACCCTGATAATGGAGATTGACAGATAACTGTGAATGGAGGAATGGATGCCCTAGCAGGGTGACAAAGCACAGAATCCTGATCACTAAGTAGCACCAAGCACTAAAGATGCTATTTAGGTGTTATCTAATAGTTATCTTTGACTCTACACCAAAGATACCAAACTATAAACTTCAAATCCAGGAGAAACTGCAGTGGAACCTTCCCAGTTAAGCAAGAGCAGCAACAAAGGAGGAGCCTACAGGACAATTCTGTGTATAAAGAAGCAGTAGAGCCCTAGCTGGTTTGGCTCTGTAGATAGAGCGTCGGCCTGTGGACTGAAGGGTCCCAGGTTCGATTCCAGCCAAGGGCACATGCCTGGGTTTCAGGCTCGATCTCCAGTAGGAGCATGCAGGAGGCAGCTGATCAATGATTCCCTCTCATCATTGATGTTTCTATCTCTCTCTCCCTCTCCCTTCTTTTCTGAAATCAATACAAATATTTTTTTTTTTAAAGAAGAAGCAGTAGGGATCTGGACAATTCATGTTGGGTTAGATAATTAGTCTGGTTCTGTTTCTGTACAATAGATAAATATATCTCTCTTACGTGAATTGTTGCTTGATGTTTTTTGTTTCCCCTTTTTTCTGTCTTTATCTGCCTATCTATGTACGTATGTATGTATGTATCTATCTATGTATATTTTAACAGAGGAGATGCTCACTGTTCATTGTATTTTCTGCCTTTTACACGCACTTTTGAGCAGCCAATCCTCAAAATCCAGTGATGGTGAATAGTGTCCCTTCCTGTTTATTTAATACGGTGACATCACTGGAAACTTGGCTTTCTAGCTTCAGCTTCAGGACTCTCTTTGTGCCTCTCTGGTTTCAGTGACCCATTTTTGATTTGTCCAACTTGACCTTCCCACTCAGGCCTTGACGATTCTCACACCCTGATTTGGAGATGCTTGTGGCCTAAGTTCCTTGGAGCCTGTGCTTGCCAGGGATGGGGAATCTGCACAATGGTTGATAAAACAGCTTAAATGATCACCAGCACTTATGCCATTCAAGGCAGAGAACTACAACCAGCCCCTCTGTTATGCTGCTAGACATGATTATTGAAAAAAGTGTGTATACATTTGTAAGTGTGAGCGTGTGCATGTGTAAGGACAGCATAGAGGGGTTACTATATTTACCTTTTACCAAAGTGACCGTATTTCAGATTAAGCAATGCAGAATGCAAAATCTGCTACTTGCGTGCAGAAAAGGGACCGAGCTCTGTTGACAGTTATCTCTAAAACAACATGAACGACCTGGGTGGAACCAATGAAACTGGAAAAGGGGAACCATTCAAGTAGAATGGTCAGGGTTAGCTGTCAAGTTGTGGCAAGATAGGGATCATTAGGGCTCTGGATGGGAATCCTCACAACAGTGGGGTGGGAGAGGCAGTCAGTCGGAGCTTCCCCCGGAGGAAATGTCTCTGTGCTGGTGTACTCCCTCCACACCTGGAACCACAATTGCTAGAAGCGTGTGCCTACAGGCGTAGGCTTTGTGTTGAGAGTCGTTCCTCTCTAATGCTATGCATTGAATTCTATGCAACATTTCATTAAGAGGACCTAGGGCACTCTGCTCACACTATCCACAGTGTTCAACCCACGTTATCCTTGGTAGTTATTTTCTGGTACAGGAGCAAAGACCTAAGTGAGTAGGGCTAAATAGGGGATAAATGGTGCCCATTCAAGACAAGTCAGATTCAAAATATCCTGCCCAAAAGAAGATTATTTCAATATTTATGTAAATGATGTTTCATAAGTACTGTTATTGTGTAAACAAACGTGTCTAGTTTGCTGTGCCTGATAGAGCACCTCTATTCTTGCTCACTTGAAGCAAGAGCCTTTCTTCCCTGTATTGAATCCTGCTCTGCAACTGTCAGAGAATTCAAGCAAATTGCAATTCAGTTCACTTCCATCAGCTACCTCCCAAGAATGTAGATGCATGAGATGCTATCCACACCCCCCAGGTGATAGCAAGCCTAACAGTTAAGGTCAAAAATATCTACAGAGTACCCTCTATGTGCCAGGTAGCATACCATGTGTTAAATCGATTGCAAAGTTTAGTTCACTAACTTAGTCACGGTTCCTGCCAAAGTAGAGACTACATATTAAGTCAGTCATGATTGTCTTGAAATGCTTATGATCCACTAAAGAACCTGAAGCTGCCATCACACCCTTCTCGAAAGAATTTCTCCTAAATAGTGGATGGGGATGCAATTTCTGGCAAGAGTTGGCCTTTTGCCTGGGTACCCGTCACTTACTTCCCAGTTCCAAACCAAACAGCCCGCAGCCTTCTCTTGCAAAACCTTGGCAGTATTCGGGTTGGCACGGAGCTAGGCCTCCAGCCAAGAGCAGTCCACTGTGACCCAGGAAGAGCAGCTACCCTGAGAACCTCCTTTGAACTAGAACTCTGGTTCCCATATCCCATATCTAAAAGCGAATTAAAATGGCTCCTATGAAAACAGTGTGGGACCTATGATATGAATCCAACCTGTTTGGAAAATATTGTTTAGCTTCTCCGACAGTACTTGGTCCAATTAACTCTTTCCAGTGTTGTAAACCATTTTCTCTCACTAAAACAAGAGCTAGAGATGGACCACTGTTAGAAAATTAAAAAAAACAAAGTTAATAAAAATCTGACTCAGTAGCTAATTATATATAGATAATGCAAGTATATTTGTTAAATAGACAATAAAAAGTCAAGATAACCCTTTTACCGAATCTAAAATTAATTTCCATTGGTGTATTCTTAAAAGCATATTTATAAAAGGATGAAAGCAGAGAAATGAAAGGGGAAAGGGGGCCTTGGTTCTAATACAATGGTTCCTATATTGTTCCTATACTCCTGCTGATTTATATACTCCTGCTGGATTTCAGCCCCAGGCATTATTTCACTTATGCTTTTAGAAACCTGACAGATTTCTAGCATCTCCTGCCTCTCCTAGATCTTTAGATTACCAAAGCCCTCGAGACTCAATCAGTTTTCTCTGCTTGGACTTGATGATGTTGCACACCCTGAATTCCTGGCATTTAACTCAACCGGACTCCAGCAACTTCACCTGGGATATTTCCATTGCTCCAATAACATTCCAGGAGGACTAGACAAGACAGACAGTTGAACAGAGAATCGACATGGGAGGGAGACTGGCTCAAAAAGCAGACTCAGCGCTTGTTTACAAAATTGAGAGGCTTGGCAACTTGAGCAGAAAGAAAGGTTAAGAGGAGATTTAAATCATTCAAAAATAAATCAGACTGTACTTTCTACACCTGAAATTTATTTTACCTGGTCATGTTTTCTATCACCTTGTCAAAATAATTTTCATTTTCATATTCCTTGCATAGTGTTCGTGCCTCTTCTTCTGATAATACCACTGGCCTTTGCATCAGTATATGAAAGCCTTCATTTTTAATAATATTCAAAACATCCTCTAAACAAAAAGTAAAATGAAAAGTTTTAAATTGCTAGGTTAGTGGTTATATACACAATATAGAATATATTATCATGAGGACATATAATGCATTTTATTCTGAAATTTAAAAACTTGCAAAAATAGTTCATTAGATTTTAATTTAAGGTGAACAATATTCTTAACATATTAAATTATAATGGTATTTCCAATTTTACATGACATAAGAATCATACACACACACACACACTGAAGTATCTCATTAGCAAATATTTTCTATACTACATGCTTTCTCTCTAAGACTGGCATCAAGGCAGGGCTCTCACCTCTCACTACTTCTATTGACATCAGACTGGAAAACCTAGTTAATAAAATAACACAAGAAAAGAAAATAAAGGGTATACAGATAGGGATGGAGAAAATAAAACTGTCTTTGTTCATAGATGATATGATTGTCTATGTAGAAAACCCAAAGAAACAACAACAACAAAACTCCTAAAACTAATAAGAGACTATTATAGCAAAATTGCAGGTTACAGTTTATGTACAAAAGTAAATGACTTTCCTATATACTAACAATGACATTGGAATTTGACATTTAAAACAATACAATTTACATTAGTACACACAAAAATGCATCCTAGCCAGTTTGACTCAGTGGATAGAGTGTTGGCCCGTGGACTGAAGGGCCGTGGGTTCAATTCTGGTTAAGGGCACATACCTCATTTGCAAGCTCGATCCTGTGCCCCGAGCATGTGTGAGAGGCAACCAATTGATGTGTCCACAAGTTATTTTGTGGATATGGATATTGAAAAACTGATTCTAAAGTTTATATGGAAACACAAAAACCCAGAATAACCAACTCAACATTGAAAGACAAAAACAATTTTTGAGGACTGATAACTACCCACTTCAAGATTGACTATAAGACTACCATAATCAGCCCTACCAGACTGGCTCAGTTGGTTGAGCGTCATCCCATGAACCGAAAGGTCGCCAGTTTGATTCCTGGTCAGAGTACATGCCCGGGTTGCAGGCTCAATCCTTATTTGGGAGTGTTCAAGAGGCAACTGATTGGTGTTTCCCTCTTGCATCAATGTTTCTCTCACTCTCCCCCTCCCTTCCTCTCTTTCTAAAAAACTCAATTAAAAACTACTGTAATCAAATTAGTGAGGGATAGGCAAAAGAATACACACATAGATCAACAGAACTGAATAGAGAACCCAGAAATATACCCACATGAATATGTAAACTGAAGTGTGACAAATAAGCAGAGGTAATACAGTGGAGCAATGATAGCCTTTTCCACAAATGGTGCTGGAACAATTGGACACACACATGCAAAAAAATTAATCTAGACATAGACCATATACCTTTCATGAAAATTAAATGAAATGGGTTATAGTCCTAAATGTAAAGTTCCAACCTATAAACTTTCTGCAAGATAACAAAGAAGAAAATACTGATAACCTTTTAGGGTTTAAATTGATTTTTTAATTTAAACACTAAAAGAGCAATAAAAATACCTGACAAGTTGGACTATATTAAAAACAGAAACTTTCCAGTAAAACACACTGTCTAAAAAAACACAGAGCCCAGCCCTGACCGGTTTGGCTCAGTGGATAGAGCATCGGCCTGCGGACTGAAGGGTCCCAGGTTCGATTCCGGTCAAGGGCATGTACCTTGGTTGCGGGCACATCCCCAGTAAGGTGTGTGCAGAAGGCAGCTGATCGATGTTTCTCTCTCATCGATGTTTCTAACTCTCTATCCTTCTCCCTTCCTCTCTGTATAAAAAAAAATCAATAAAATATATTTTAAAAAACAAAAAAAACACAGAGCTCAAAACCTAGAAAATCTTTGCAAACTATAGATATGTAAAGAACGTGTATTCACAATATGCAAAGAACTCATAATTCAACAATAAGTACACAAATAACTCCATTAAGAAATGGGGAAAAAACATCTGAAGAGACATCTCACCAAAGAAGATATAGAAATAGAAGTTAGCATATGAAAAGATGCTCAGCATCATGTCATTAGGCAATTGTGAATTAAGACAACAATGAGATACCATTACATACTTATTAGAATAGAAAAAATCTAAACAACCACCTGCACAGCAACAGAAGCTCTCACTACTTGCTGTTTAGAATTGAAAATGGTACAGCACTTTAAAAGGCATTTGACAGTTTCTTACAAAGCTACACATAGTTTAACCATTTGATCCAGTATTCAGGCTCCTAGGTATTTACCCTACTGAGGTTAAAACTTATGTCTACACATGCAAAAAATCATATATTAATGCCTATTTCAGCTTTATTCATAATTGCCAAAAACTGAAAGCAACAAAGATGTCCTTCAATAGGTAACTGGATAAACTTTGGTACAGCCATAAAATGGCATATTATTCAGCAACAAAAGGAAATGAGCTACCAGGTCACAGAAAGACATAGCGGAATCTGAAATTCATATTAAGTAAAAGAAGAGGCTACATACTATATGATTCCAACTCTTTGACTTTCTGGAAAAGGCAAAACTATAGAGACACCAAAAAGATCAGTGGTAGCCTAAGGAGAGGAGGGTGGAAGGGAGGAATGACTAGGTGACTCCATTCTGTATGATACTGTAAAGGGGATACATGATATGCATTTATCAAAACCCATAGAATGTGCAAAATAGAGAACTTTATTTTTTTTTAAATATATATTTTATTGATTTTTTACAGAGAGGAAGGGAGAGAGATAGAGAGTTAGAAACATCGATGAGAGAGAAACATCGATCAGCTGCCTCCTGCACATCTCCTACTGGGGATGTGCCCGCAACCTAGGTACATGCCCTTGACCGGAATCAAACCTGGGACCTTTCAGTCCGCAGGCCGACGCTCTATCCACTGAGCCAAACCGGTTTCGGCAAAATAGAGAACTTTAATGTAAACTATGGATTTTAGCCAATAACAATGTGTCAATATTCATTAATTTTAAAAACATATCACAATAATATGTTAATAGGAGAAACTGTTAACCATGCATATGGGAACTCTGTACTATATTAATTTTTCTATAATTTTATAGCTGTCCTAGTTTATAAAAATCTATTCATTTAACAAGTATGTAAATATTAAGAAATACTTTAAAAGGCAAACAAAACATTCCAAAGAAGAAAACTATAGGACCAGATAGTTTTGCCAGTAAATTCTGGTAAATATTTAAGAAAAATGTAATATCAATTATACACTGTTTCTTCCAGAAAATAAAGAAGAGTGACAACTTATTTTATGAGGCCTGCATTATGCTGACACCAAAACCAGATAAAGATATTATAAGAAAACAACAAATAATCCTCATGAATATAAGCATGAAAGCTCTCAACAAAATATTTAAAAATCAAATCCAGAAGTATGCAAAAAGGACAATATACAACAATCAATTGTGATTTATCTGGAGAATGCAAAGCTACTTCAGCATTCAAAAATCACAGTAATTACCTTATTATCAAACTCAAGGAAAAGTAATAATCACGGTAGTAGACACAGAAAAAATGTTTGAGAAAATGCAATATCCATTCATGATTTTTTTTAAATCCCCAAACTAGGAATAAATGGAAATTTCCTTAATTTGATAAAGGATATATAGCACTAACATTATACTTAACTAGAGGCCCAATGCACAAAATTCATGCAAGAGTAGGCCTTCCTTCCCCCGGCTGCCGGCACCAGCTTCCTTCTGGCACCCAGGACCCGAGCTTCCCTCGCAGGGGAGGCCCCCCCGCCCCGCCATTGTTCGCCCCACATGCTGGTGGCCTGGGCCTCCCTCTGTGGGGCAATCATGGGGCAATGGCCGGGCCCCCGGCCAATAGCATTGCACCCGCCTTGGCTGGCCTGGAGCCAATAGTGTCATAGCGTGGTCCTGGATGGTCATCCAGATGGTTGTTCTGCTGTTTGGCTGTTCAGTCGATTTGCATATTACACCTTTATATATAGGATGGTAAAAAACTGAATGCTTTCACTATAAGGTCAGGAACAAGGCAAACTTGTCTACTCTCACCTCTCCTAGTCAACATCATACAGGAAGTTCTAGCCAGTCAGTCCAATGATGCAAGCAAAAGGAAGAAAGGTATACAGATTGTCTTGATTTGCAGTGTTATTATTGTCTACCTCAGTAGTTCTTGGCCAGAAATTTTATCCCCCATGAGTGCATTTGACAATGTCTGGAGACATTTTTTGTTGTCACAACAGGGCGTGGTGAGAGGGAAGATGGGGGTGCTCAGGAATGCTACATCTGATGAGTAGAGGCCAAGGGTGTTATAAACATTTTACAATGCACATGACACAGCCTCCCTCAGCCAAAAATTATCAGTTATCTAGCCCCAAATGTAAGTAGGTCTGAGGTTGAGAAATCCTGGTCTGCATAGAAATTCCCAAGGAGATGACATCAAAGATTCTAACACTTAGTTCAGCAAGTCAGAGAATGCAAGGTCAATATAAAGTATTGTATTTTCATACACTAGGTATGAAAAATAATTAATAGTGTGAATGTATGGCTTGTGTTCTTACTCTGCATTTCACTCTGCCATGTGAATATGGGAGTAGGTTAAAAATAATTAGCACTTTTTAAGTGTAGGCACTGTATTTATGTTTTCTTATTTTCATCTAATTTTTTTGTTCTTTTTTAAATTTTATTTTCTTCTTTTTCCGTTAGAGTTTGCATTCAATAATATTCTCTATATTAGAAGAAAGAGACTTGATAAAGCATCTTTTTCAAATCATACTATTAATGAGGGGTTGACCCAAGCTTTGAGTTAAGGCACTTCAGAAATGAAAACTGCCAATTTTTATTATATAATAATTCCTGCCACTTTAAAATCTTTTCTAACACATTTATAAGCTAGAAAATACTTTGTAAACTCTTTACTGAAAATTGTTTTATTATTGAAAATTAGTAAATTAATATTAACTAAATTTCTTACTTTAGGTGCTTTTTCTTCAAAGTTAAGTCCTAAAATAATATATTTTAATGTAATTACACTAGGGTTTATTCAACTCCATTTATGAAATAAACAATTTGTACCTTATTTCTTACCTTTCTTTTCTTGAAAGAGATCTGGTCGAAGTAATGCCAGTGTCTTTTCTAATTTCATGTTTTTAAAATCAGGGAAGAAGATATCAATAAGCTTATTAACATTATCTACATCCTCTTCAACATCACAAAACTGATGCATATTTTCTTTAACCAGATATTCTTCTAAACTGCTGAAATTCAAAATATAATTTAAGATTATAAACTGAAGTTTAATAGCCGTGACAGAAAATTAAAACTGATAATATGTTTACAAATAATTCAGAGTTTAATAAAACAAATAAAAACTTAATTTCAAGTGGCTGTTATTGGAAGTGTATATATCCAAAGACCCGGCATCCAGAGATCGGCTGCTAACCCGGAAACACCGGATCTGGGACAGCACGACTACGTGGAGCCCTGCTTCTCCTCACAGAAAGCAGAGAGAGAACTACATAACCAAACACCTGGAGAAGAGAGATCATGAGGAGACCAAGAACCAGCCCACATATGAAAGTAAAACAGGCATCACCAGAAAAGGAAGTAAACAAAATGGAGGCAATGGAGGCAAGCAACCTGTCAGAGAAAGAATTCAGAGAAATGGTCATAAGGTGGCTGAAAAGATTGGAAGACAAATTCAACAATATGTGTAAGAACCAAGAGGAAATGAAGAAAAACTAAGAAGAAATGAAAAATGACATCACTGCTATAAAGAACTCAATAGAAAGCATCAACAGTAG